GCGAGGAGCTGGGGCCAGGGCTTAGCTGGGCGCATTCCTGCTGACCACAACAATGCCCTTCACCCTGGGCGGGGGCGATTTGAGCGTGAGCCGGGGGCCCTGGAGTGGAAAATCGGAGTGCTGGGGCTTTGTGGCCGCGCGGCAGACTGCTGGCTCTGGGAATCCTCTGCCTAAGTCAGTGTGGCCTTTGTGTGTGGGGGAGGCTGGCGCCGAGCGGGCGCAGGAAGCGTGAATGCTGAGGACAGGAGAAAACCGTGGGGACAATGCAGGGACCACAGCAGCACTCAGCGCCCGCCTGCCTGGGCAGGGCCACCGGAGAGCAGAGAAAAGACCCCCGAGGTCATGGCTGTCCTCCATCAGACACCGTCACACACAACCGCACACACAGCACATGCCACCCACATAAGCTCACATAGCACATTCAACCACACACACAAAACACACACCACATGCACACAATATACACACCACATGCACACAGTCACACACCCAGCACGTGCGACACACACAATCACACACACATCAGACACACACATCACAGACACACACACTATACACATGCGCCACATACGCCACGTGCACAGATATACACAAACTTCCGCATAGACACACGACACACCACACACACCCCATACAGACACCACACATGCCACACACAGATGCACAAAGCATGCACACGCCATAGACACACACCACCCACCCACATCAGTGGGGTCCTTCCCTGACACCGACGCCCCCTGCCTGGTCCCTGGGCCTTTGGCCCCTCCTCCACCCTGGGTCAGGAGGGAGCAGATGGAGCAGGCGAGAGGTTTCCTCATACTGCCCAGAACAGTGTGCATTTTACACTCATGAATGGCTTATTTCTGGAATTTTTCATGTAATATTTTTGGACCATGACTGACTGCAAGCAGTTGAAATGACAGAAAGCCCAACCTCAGATGAGGGGCCCAGGGTGCTACAGAGTGGGCGGCTTAAGCAGAACTTTGTTTTTTACTGCTCTGAAGGCTAAAAGTCCAAGGTGAAGGTGAGAGGGCAGGTTCCTCGTGAGGCCGCTCCGCATGCTGGCAGGGCGTCTTGTTGCTGAGTCCCCACGTGGTCTTTCCTGCGTTCCTGGTGTCTCTCTTGTGTCCAGACTTCCACTGTGAGGACACAGATTGGAGTAAGCTCCACCACATGACCTTGTCTTACCTCAATTCAAAGTCCCGTCTCCAAATAAGTCACCTTCTGAGGCCCTGGGGCGAGGACGTAGCATGCGAATTTGGGGATCCAGTTCAGTCCTCGGTGCCTGCTTGCTCTCACAATCACGCACACTTGCTCAAGTGTACCTGCCCTCCAAGATCAGTGCCGAGTGGCCGAGTCTCCCCCAGGACGCGTGTTCCCAGCCGAGGCTGACCAGTCAGCTTGTGTCTTTTTGAGGTGTCTTTAGTGCTGTGTGTTTTGCATTTTTGTGTGTGTTTGTTTGTTTTTGGTGATTTTGCTGTTTCAGGGCCCTGAGTACAGTGCTGAAGCGCTGTCCCTGTCCTGCACACGAGGAAGCTGTGACGTTTCTCATGGAGAAAACGCATGCGTTAAAGAAGTCTCAGTCAGGCTGCCCCGAGGTGCTGCCGGGGCAGTCAATCTTCACGGACCAACGACACATAAGAAATCAGGCGTCATCAGAGACACACGAAGCTAGGCTCTGTCTTGATGGGTCAGGGCCTCGCAGGAGCGGGACCTCGGCTTTCCCCTGTGGCCGGGGCTTGGTCTCTGCTGTGTTCGCTCAGTCGGTGTTCACAGCACCCCAGAGGACGTGCTCCAACCGCGAGGGTCGCCCGCTGTGTGTGGTGTGCAGAACTTAGGCCCCGACGGGGAGGGCTGGTCTGCGTGGTTCAGATGGGCAGGACGTGGAGTAATGACAAGAACCTGACTTGGGTTCCCAGACACGGCACCTTCGTGGCTGGGCCTGCCGCTATACTTGATGGCTTTGAAGTAGTGTTTGTTAGGTGGCTTTCTGTCACTAGAGCAACAAGCGTCAGGCAGGTGACCTGGGACAGGTTTATTTGGGCCCGTGGTTCTGGAGGGTCCAGTCCAGGGCAGGTGGCCTCCTAGCTTTGGGTCTCTGGCGGGGGCAGCACACCATGGCGGGTGCCTGGAGGAGCCCACCTCATGATCCAGGAAGCAGGAGAGAGAGGAAGGGACACGGTTCCACAGGCCTCTTCAGGGGCACCGTCAGTGACCTGAAGACCCCCCTGGCCACAGCTCCACCATCTCGCAGGAGGGCCTCCCTGAAGACCAAAGCTTTAACACAGGGGCCTGGGGGACATTTGACACCCCAACTGGAGTGGGCACCTTCACCATGATTTCTAGAAGGAGCCCAGGCCCACAGCAAGGGGCCTGGCCCAGACCCAGGGTCTCCCCCTGGTCCTGCTCTGTCCCTGCTGAGCCTGGATGCCACCTGCTTCTTTGTCTCACCCTCTAGACCATCGGCTCCACAGAGCAGGCTTTGCTTGTCAGTGTAGAGTGTGGACAGGGCTCAGCCAGGGTCTGTCCAGGAATGAAGGTGCTCTCAAGCAGCAGACGGAGGCCGGCAGGACCCAGGCCAGTGGGCTGGAGATGAGACGGGGGAGCCCTTGATAGCCAACTGGGGTTCAGGTTGAGGACAGTCAGAGGCTCCATGTTGGCCCTCACCACTGGCCTTTCTTGGTTAGTGGTAGAGTAGCCCACCAGTCTGTGCTCCAGGGACCCAGGGCCAGGGCAGCCCTGGGCCACATCTCATGCTCTTCCCTGGCTAGCAGGAGCAACAAGGCCTCCCTGCCCCAGTTCCCAGAGCTAGTCTATTGCTGACGTGGCAGAGGGAAGAAGGCTGGTTTCCCTGGATTGCTGGCCTCAGGGAGATGATCCTGGCTCATCCAGGGGCAGGGGCAGGAGAGTGACAGCCAGAGGGGTGATGGGAGACCGGACCACCCACGCCTCCCTTGAAGGTGGGAGAAGAGCCGCCAGTCACAGGGAGCTGGAGGGCGGCTTCACAGGCACCACCGGGCTCTCCTTGGCTTTAGCTCAGCGAGACACAGTGCAGACTTCTGGCCTCCAGAACCTTGAGATCACGCATGAGTGTGTTTGAAGCTACCAAGTCTGTGACGCCTCCTAGGGCAGCTGCAGCACAGTCACACAGGGCCCCTGAGGGCCCTGGCGCTGTAGCTCCCCCGTCTCAGTCTTCATGGTTCAGTTGTGCAGACCCAGGCCTGGCTCACCCTGAAGACTTTGCCTGGCCCTCCATGCCCCAGGGCCCCCCGGACTCTCGGCCCACAGGGGTACAGGAGTGTGAGCACCGGAGACCAGAGGGCCTGGCCTTACCTCGGCAGCTGAGCCTCGGGACGAGGCTCAGGCCAGCGTCAGGGGGTACTTGTCTCCATCCCTGCTGAGGGCCCCAGCTGTTGACCGCCCACAGGCAGAGCCAGCGCAGGCAGGCAGAGCAACATGCTTCCCTCTGTGCCCAGTGCCAGGGAGGTGCCAAGCACTGTAGCTGTCGAGATGAGTCCTATCTAAAGGCAACGTGAAAAAAATCAAAACGAGCACAGAACATCTGTGATGAGCAGAGTTTAAGTGGAGACAGAAGGAACGCTTCTGTCCTTGCCTGGCACTACAGGACGGCTCCGCCCAGCCATGACCTGGGGCCTGGCCCCACTGGCCACTCCCTGGAGGACTCACTCAGCTTCCATCTGCCCCCCCACACCCCACCCTCTGCACCAGGAACAGGCAGCTGGCACCCCACCCTGTCCATACCCCTGCCACCGCTCAGGTGTGACCCCAGCCCAACAGGCAACCTGAAGCCCCCTTCACTGAAGCCCCCGCCTGTTCACACTGTGTGGCAAAGGCCCTGGGTCCCCACTTGCAACACCAATTTTGTCCTGGATGTACCAAACTGATGGCCGGGTGTCTATTCTCTGATGACCTTCTGAGTCCGTGGGCCAGAGAGTTTGCAGCGATCCTGAGAGCCTGGGGCTAGAGTTTGTTCCACAAACATGGCCTGGACGTTGATTAGAAGCTGGGCCAGGAAGCAGGAGGCACAAAGGGGAACCGGCAGCTTCTCACGGTCTGGGTCATGCGTGCCAAAAGCTAGCCCGGGTTGTGGGAGCAGGCTTTGTCCTCTGCTGTAGGGGTGTAGGAAGCAGAAGTATAATGCTGCCCAAGGTCAAGAAACTTCTAGAAGCATTAAAAGTGGGAGTCACTGGAGAGGGCATGGGCAGGAGCAGAGTACTCACCAGGCCTTGCCAACAGCAGGACCCTGTGGCCAGTGACCATGGTGATGGGTGGTCAGTTGGCAACCACGGTGTGGTCATGCTGAGGCTCCAGGCTTTGCAGGGGGCCATGTCCATGGAGGGTGAGCCGCACGGAGGGCCTGGAACGCAGGTCCCCTCTCCTCACGCTCAATCAGGCCCCTGCAGGAAGCCCACGGTCTTTGGAGTGAGCCTGAGGCTGAGCAGGGCTCCTGCCGGCACCCCAAGGCTCGGCTGGCTTGTTCTATTTCCCGTCTTCCTGAGCTTTATGTGAGGAGGCCTCATCTTTGTGATCAGTAAGAAGCAACAGAGGTAATTCTGCTCTGGAGAAACGTGCCGTCACCTGGGAGCTGAGATGTGGGGACAGCTTGTCTAACCTCTGTGCCTCCGTTTCCTTGTCTGTGAAGCAGAGCGATGAGCTTCCCCTCCAAGGGCCACCGTGAGGAACAGTCAGGACAGAGGTGTGCCAAGAATCAGTGCTGCCCCTGACCCACACAGATGACCTTTCCACCGTCTCCCCGTGGTGAACATGGGGGCACCTGTCCTCCTGGTGGCCCTGAGGTGCCCAGACAGCTCAGGCCTGGACTCTGGGGCTGGGGCAGCCTGTGCCTCTGGGGCTGGGGCAGCAGGCGTGGGGCCCCGCCGGGCTCTGCTGACTCTGCAACCTTCCTCCTGAGCTCAGGCATTTCCAGAGAAATCCTTTAATGCCTCCATTCTGTCCAGGCGTATATAGGGAGGGCTGGCCACCCGGCTCCCCACTGCGCTGCCCAGAGGCCTCTGCCCTGCCCTGTCGCCAGCCTCCAGTCCCCGCAGTGCCGAAGCAGAACATGGACGTCACCATCCAGCACCCCTGGTTCAAGCGTGCGCTGGGACCCTTCTACCCCAGCCGGCTGTTCGACCAGTTCTTCGGTGAGGGCCTCTTCGAGTATGACCTGTTGCCCTTCCTGTCTTCCACCATCAGCCCCTACTACCGCCAGTCCCTCTTCCGCACAGTGCTGGACTCTGGCATCTCCGAGGTAAGGTCCTGGGGCCTCTGGCTTCTCCTGGCTGGGCAGAGGACAGCTAGGGATTCCCCAGGGGCCACCTGCTGCCCCTGGCGCACTCATCTTGTTCCCCGGAGCGGGTGGTGGCTGTAGGCCACCGTCCTGCCTCCCCCAGCCTCGTCACCTTCAGAGGCGGGCCCTGGGGAGGGTTGGAGCAGGAAGCCCACCCAGGCCCAACCGCTGTCTTTTCCTCCCATCAGCTCATGACCCGTATGTGGTTTGTAATGCACCAACCACATGCTGGAAACCCCAAGAACAACCCCGCCAAGGCAAGTCGCGGGGTGGTGTGAGCTTCCCGGGTCGGGCTTCCTCCCGCTGGCCCTGCAGGTGCGGGAGGGTGTGCTGCCTGAGGCCCAGAGAGAGGGTTACTTCAGCAGAGCACCTGCCTTTTGCTGCTGGCAAAGCTCAGAGACTGGGCTCTCACCCAGCTGACCGGAGCGCAGCCATGCCCAGGAAAGGCCTGAGGCCACTTCCCTCTCCCTGCTGAGCTGGGGCAGGTCCAGGCCAGCAGGCCTCCTAAAGGAGGAGGCTCCCAGAGGCCAGGCACTACCAACCATGCCCGGGAGCAGAATGGCCAGAGGGAGCCAAGGAGCCAGGGCAGGGAGGGGAGAGCAAGGGACAGAGGGCTTTGTGAGCTGGACAGAATGCTACGCAGGCTGCAGCAGCAGGTGGACCTGGAAGATGGGCCCCAGTGGGGGCTTACGGAGCCCAGATGAACCTGGGGCAGCCACCTTATTCCAAATGCCAACTCGTGAGCAACCAGCGTTCCAACCCTAAAGAGCCCCCTGGCCATCACCAAACAACCATTCAGCCCATGACCAGCCACCCTGACCGTCACCAGCCAGCAGACTTGTGTCAGCCAGCCAGCCATGCCAATTAGCCACAGCCAGTTAGCTCACCAGGACCCACACCCCGCCGGTGACGCCCCAGGGACCGGCCAGCCCACCTATCGCCCAGCAGTGGTCAAGCACTCCTATCCCTAAGGTCTGGGGTCAGTGGCGCAGCTGCCCTTGGCACGGGTGTTGCAGTCCGGCTCCTGTGCACTCCGTTCTGCTGGCCCATGAGGAGGAGGCCAGCACAGGGTCTGCTCCGGTGGCCAGTGCTGGAGCTGCCAATCGCTCTGGGTGGTGTGTCCACTCCATCCTGGAGCTGGTGGCCCTCTGGGGAGCTCCACATGCGGGTCTGGGTTTCAGGTCCGATCCGACAGGGACAAGTTCGTCATCCTCCTGGATGTGAAGCACTTCTCTCCCGAGGACCTGACCGTGAAGGTGCTGGAGGACTTCGTGGAGATCCATGGCAAGCACAACGAGCGGCAGGTGAGCTCTGCGCCCGGGACAGCGCCTCCACCTGCCCACAGCAGGCCTCCAGACCCTGGGCACTGTCCCCCTGAGCCCAGCAGGGCGGGGCAGCGCTGTGAATGTGGCCTGCGGCTCCATCCTGAGTCCTTGCCTTGGGTGCTGCTCCCAGCTGTCGGGGCTGCTCTGGGTCTTCACAGCAGGATGGGATTAGAAGGAGCCCGGGAAAGGGCAGGGCCCGTGGCGGGCACCTTTGAGCCAACACGTGTTTTCACAACCTCACTTTGGAGGGCGAGCCCGTGAGGACAGAACAGCTGGCCTTCAGGGTCGTCCACTGAGTCACCTCTCAGTGGCCCTTTTCAACATTGTGCTTAGTATCTCGGGGTAACCAGGGTAGGGCCAGAGCCTGAGGAGGTCCCCCGCCTGCCGGATCCCGTGGCTAGTACCAGGGCGCAGTGGGGGCTCCCCTGTAGTCACCACCCTGCGCCCACTCCTGGTCATATGGAGATCCTGGGGGCTCCCTGTCTGCTGCCCCTCCCCGCCCTGGCTAGGGGAGGCCCCCTCCCTGTCCAGTCCCTCTTCGTCCAGTTCCCAGCTCTCAGGTCTTTGCACCTGGAGGAGGAAGCAGGGCCCAGGAGCTGAATCTGGGGTCAGGGCATCCAGAAGCAAAGGCCTTCTGCCCCCTGTCAGGTGGGAGTGAGAGACCCGGGTCACCTGGTCTTCCTGGGTCACCCTCAGGGGAAAACCTGATGGAGAGGCCGGGCCAGTGGCATGAGGCATCCCACTGGGGGCCAATGCCAGGCCAGAGAGAGCCCTGGGCAGTCCCAGCTGCTGTGCTCTGCTCTTGTCAAAGGTCTCTCTTGGAGGTCAGGGAGCCAGCAGGCTGGGCTGAGATTCCAGGCTGGAGAGAGTGGACATGGGTCCATGCGTCTCTGGAGGTCTGGACAGTGGCCCTCCAGTTCTTCAGCTCAGCCCGGCTGCCTCACGGGGTGTGGGAGGGCCCTTCTCAGCGTGGGGGATGGCAGCTGCCCTGCTGCTTCTGACCGCCCCTCCCGGCCTCTTCCCAGGATGACCATGGCTACATTTCCCGGGAGTTCCACCGCCGCTACCGCCTGCCCTCCAACGTGGACCAGTCGGCCCTGTCCTGCTCCCTGTCTGCAGATGGCATGCTGACGTTCTCAGGCCCCAAGGTCCAGTCTGGCCTGGACGCTGGCCACAGCGAGAGAGCCATTCCCGTGTCGCGGGAGGAGAAGCCCAGCTCGGCACCCTCGTCCTAAGCAGGCCTCGGCCTCGGCTGCCCCCCTCGGCCCCTGACCCCTCCAGCTGGGGGGACCACAGGAAAGGCCTCTGCCTTCCCTTCCTTTCCTTTCCTTCATCCCCCGTCTTCTCAGAGGAATGAGGTTCTGAGAGAGTGGCCGGGAGCTTGGAGCCGTGACCGCAGGGTGTCCCAGGCCCAACACCTGCCCGCGGGGGGAGTGATTGCATCACACGCTTCTCTAGATGGGACCTTGTCCTCCTGAGGGACATCAGCTCTGCTCAGAGGGCAGGAGGGGGGGACCAGCCCCACGGGTGCCCTGGCCCAGCCCTCTGGATGGATCCGGACACCGGTGGCCTCCTCGGCGGCCCAGCCCACTTCCCTGTGGTGCCGTGGGTGCTGGGGGCCCCTGGCTCTGCAGCCTGCTCCTCTCAGACCGTCTTCCTGCACCCTTCCTCTGTGTATTTCCTCTCCTGGGCACTCCGGTCACCCATGAGAATGAGCCCATGGCAGCCAATAAAGAGCAGGTGGCACAGCAATTTGCCTTCTGGTGGTCATGCTGTCTGCATTGGGCAACCCTGAGGGCGGGGGTCAGCAGCCGGAGGGAGGAATAGGAGGCCTCTGTTCCTGCTGGCTCTGCCCAGGGCCTCCAGTGTCCCTTCCTCTCTCCTGTGTCCAGGGGCCTCTCCTCAGCAGGCTCTGCGGGAGCAGGAGTGGGAGATGGCCCCTCTCCAGCCTGCCTCCCCAGGCTTCCCGTCACCTCATCACTCGTGGGGTGCACAGCCCACTTCCAGTGGGCAGCAGGCCCTGGTCCTGCCTTAGAGGCGTGGCTTGCTCAGCCTCCCCATGCCCAGGGCAGACACCAGCCCTCAGGGTTCCTGGGACCGGCAGTGTCCGGCAGCATCACCCTCCACCCAGAGCAGCTTGGCCCTGCTCTCGCCCAGACCCAAGGTAGGGAGGGGACTCTCTTGGAGAGCCTCAGATTCCACGGGGAGTGGCACAGGTCAGGGGCTTCTAGGGGGCTGCCGACAGTGAGGCCAGAGCCAGGTGGAGTCCTCGAGAAGCTGTGCCAGGGCCACCGGGGCCTGAGCACTTCAGTCACGCAGGGGGAGGCGGAGACCACAGGGCTCCGGGACCATGATGAGGCCCAGCAGGCTGGCCATGTGATGGCCAGCACCTTCCTCCTGGCAGGCGATGGGTGTGGGAATGTCTGAGTGACCACTGCCCCCCAGGCAGACAGGAGCGCTCACCGCCACTGCAAAGTAGTGACAGACACACCCCCCGACAGGCATGCACCAGACACCGCACCCACACACAGAGCACGGTGCACACTGCACACACCCTCACACATGCACACAGGCCCCACAAATAGTAGCAAGCACAGCATATTCTCACACACTCACCACACACTCACAGGCACCAGAGATCTCAGATGCCACACATCACACCCCTCACACCACACACACACACACACACACACACACACACACATCTACCTAACACACATCACACACGCACTTCACACACAGCCACAATACACACATCCCACATCTCACACACAGGCCCCCCACACCACACACCACACACACACCCCCCTCACCTCCTGGACATGTGTGTCCTGTGCTCTGGCCTGGCCTCATGTACAGAATGGCTCCCCTGGAAGAGATGCCCAAGACCCTCCTTCCTGCCCCTCCCCAGCACCCCAGCTGATCTGCTGGTTAGCCCACCTCTGCATGAAGCGGGTGCCCTGTGGTAGGTGCAAAATGGCTACCACACTTTGGGACTTGGGCTAGAAAACCTAAGCTCTGGAACCCCGCTCCCCTGGTTAAGTCTCTGAACTTGAGCCCCCAAGTGCACCCTGGTAGGACACTGGCTCCTCCTGAGCTCGGCAGGTAATAGCCTGCTGGGTCTGGTTGCACCCCTGCGGGTCCTGCTTGGACCTTGCTGTAGGTGACACTGTGACCCTCCAAACTTGGTGCTGAAGTCCTCACGCCCAGCCCCTCAGAATGTCACTGCACAGAGACAGGCTCTGCCCCATGAGGTCACCAGGGTGGCCCTGATCTGGCATGGCTGTGTCCCCACCAGAAGATCGGGACACAGATACCCCGAGGGTGACCTGTAGGACCTGGGGAGAAGACAGCACCTGTAAGCCAAGGAGGGAGGCCCCAGGAGGCTCTGGCCCTGAGACACCTGGGGCTAGGTCTACAGGCAGAGCGCGAGGCCCGGAGCCGGCAGACCTCAGGCAGCTGCAGGCTTCCCGAGCCCTCGCTCCCACAGGTGCTCTTTCAGCCCCAGAGGCTCAGGCAGGGAGGCAGCCCCCTCTCGGGCCTCCTGACATGTGGCTGTGTGACTGGGCCTCCAATGCTCCCCGTTTCTTAAACTTGAGGACCCAAAGCTGCTTTAGAGATGTCTGGGATTCTGGAGCAGGGTAGGCCCACCACCACCACCATCATCACCACCACTGTCATCATCATCACCATCACCACTGTCACCATCATCATCATCATCACCACCATCACATGACCACCACCACCATCATCACCATCACCACCACCATCATCATCACCATCACCATCATCACCATCACATGACCACCACCACCATC